TGTGTTGAAAGTGAACTTATCTTAGGATTTTCACAGTTTTATCTTGACATTTCTCCAATATTCTTGAACATGAAATCCGAGGCAGTGATTGGTTCATGTCGGGGGGGTTTTCTAATGACGTCATCCAGGATCAGCTTTGTGGCACAGCCTGGTGTCACAGATCAGCTCCAAGACTGACACTTAAGAATTACTCCTGCACTTCACTTAAAGTAAGACTGAGACGCTTGATAACTGATCTCAGATTTTAACTAAGAATTATTTTACACTTAAGTCCACTCTTAGCAGCATTCTTAAGAGTAATTCTAAGAAGTTTGATAAATACGGGCCCTGGTTTGATCCCTAAACCAAACTAATATTTCTCATGTTTCCTGCTTCTTTTATTTTTTATCTCCGTTTGAAACTTTTTATTTTTTCGTTGCCTCCTTCAGGGCCCCCTGAAGTGTTTTCTGGAGGCCCTCGGAAAGCTCCAGAGAAAATTCTACGCCAAGAACGAGCGCTTGAACTGCCCCATCCGCACCTTCCTGGTCACGGCCCGCAGCGCCGCCAGCTCCGGGGCCCGCGTCCTGAAGACCCTCCGTAGCTGGGGGCTGGAGATCGACGAAGCCCTGTTCCTGGCCGGCGCCCCCAAGGGGCCGCTGCTGCAGAAGATCAAACCACACATCTTCTTCGACGACCAGATGTTCCACATCGAGGGGGCCCAGGAAATGGGCACCATTTCTGCGCACGTCCCCTACGGGATCGGACAGAAGTACCACAAGGGGACGCTCATCAAGGAGCCTGAGAAAAAGGAGTGATGTGTTGGAATCCATGTGCTCCAGATTAACCTAAGGTTTCATTTAAATTATTTTGTTTCCTACGAGTGGGTTTAATTACTGAGAGAGCACAGACTTACCTCACACTTTGGTTTTAAAGATGCCAGCAAAAAGAAATGGTTTCCTTATAAACCACATCTATTTTTCTACACTTTATGATGGTTTTAACCATTTTTCTTAAATTTAAATGTGTTTGATCTTCATAGTCTTCAACTGTTTGGTTATATACAAAAAAATGTTATCTGGGTAAATATAGCTTTATTTTTGGGGAAAAAAAACTACATTTTTAATTTGATATAATTAAAAAAAGAGAGAGAAGGCCCACAAGAAGCACTGATGCTGTTTTAGTTCCTCTCGTTTCTCATTCTTTGGGTTTTTACACTAAGTTTTTACATCTACTCTCACCTGTAACCATAGATCTTTGGTATGAGATAAAATTTATTGCAAACTGCGTGTTTTTACACAAAGATAAAGAGGTTAAAAAACGAGTTGCACAGTTTTGCACACTTTTTTTTTTAAAATGCTGGCAGTATAACTGTATGTTGGACTTAATAACACAGTCACTTTGTTTTTTTGTTTTTGCATCACGTATCTCTTCTGTCTTTTTTTTTACACCTGCTCTGCACTTCTTGACCCAGGAGTATAGAACGACCGTGAGTTCGGAGCTGAAAGGAACTCACTGGAAAAAGTTTTAGTGTTTACACTGCTTTAACGCAGCGCTTTACTTTTTTAAATTAGGAAATTATGTTCTTTTTATCTGTTTTTATCTATCTGATAGTTTACATTTAAGAAGAAGTTTTTAAAATATGTATGTTTTTATTTAAAACGTCTAAAAGAGCTAATTGTGGCTTTTTGTGCTTTTTATAATTAAGCCACAATAAAAAAAAAGATGTGTTATTGTGTCTTATAATTCTATATGGATGCTATATTTCACAATAAATCCAAACAGAGTAAAAACAACTATTTGGAAATTTCTTTGGAAATAAATAAATAAACTTAAATTCCACAAACATAAAAATAACGGGGGGCGACTTTCTCTGGAACTGAAAGAGAGTTGATTAAAAANAACATAAAAATAACGGGGGGCGACTTTCTCTGGAACTGAAAGAGAGTTGATTAAAAAAGTGACACCAAGAAGTGTTTAATGGTTACACTTGTATTGATTCAGATTAAATTAATTTTTTTAAACTCTAAAAAATATATCAATATCTGTTATTGTTGACATCTGGGATAGATCTTTCATATTGTTTACTATAAATAAATAAAAGTGAATATTCTAACAAAATGCTGATATATGTGAAAAATAATTTTAAACGGAAAAGCTATGATATAATGTATGCGTAGAGTCTTTTTTAGAACCTTCTTAAATGTAAAATGCAGTAAAATGACACGTTCCTGCAGTGATGTTGGCAAAAAAAAGATTATTCAGAGAAATTTTTATTTTTTGTGCGTATTGTAAAGTGAACGTACATAACTGAAGAACCTGTAATGGTTTATTATGGACAAATACGAGACAAAAAAGTGATTTTTTAAAAAAAAAATCCTTTCATCTTTAATTGGTTTCTGATTTGTTCCCACTGAATCTTTATGTGCTTTTTCCCCAAACAAGGAACCTTTTCAGCGCCTGCACTTTATTTAATCCGCCACTAGGTGGTGCTGTGCAGCAGTGATAGCTTTTCGTCTTTTCTCTAATAAAACCATCCCATTAAAGCCAAATCTCTGCAAAGCATCTCTCGCTGGATCCCATTTGTTATGAAAACTACATGTCTTTGTGTCTGACCAGCTCCCCACATCTCAATAACGGAAGACACACTAAAAAGAGCTCGTTACTCAAATCAACAGGCTTTGAGAATTAGAAGAAAATGAAATAACAATCAGTGTTTGCATTTTCTCAGATAATAGAGAGCGGAGATAGAGGGGAAACCCCAAAACAGAGTTCTTACTTTGCTTTTGAGGAATCTGTTTTTCCCGTTTTTAATCCCAGCAGCCCCCCTCTCTGGGCCCGTCCTCCAGCGTGTCCCCGCAGTGGAAACAACACAAATCACTTGTTCTCACTGAACATTAGGTCTGATTGGAAGTTAATGAGCTATCCTTCAGCTCCTGATTGAAAATCTGAAGATTAGCCTCCAAACTCAAGTACTTATTTATAGCAGGGAGCAGCTCTGTTTGGAGACACCCGTTTGCCACACAGGTCCAAACCGGGGGGGGCTTGAACCCTGGACTTTCTGGGTGTGAGGCAGCAGGGCCAACCGCAGCGCCACCGTGCGGTGGTGTCCGATCAGCGGCGAGAGCGACCAACGACCTGAGCGTTTTTGACATTCGTTTCTTCTCCTTCCAGCCTTGGCTCGTCTCGTCAGCGGACCCGTCTTTGCGTCGAGCCCGGGTTCTGTCGGGCGGCGGAGCGCGTGCATCGCTGCGAGCTGGGACCAGCTGACTGTTGCCATGGAGACGCGGCGCTGACACCACGAGAACTGTGTAGGCTCGCTGAAGATATAATTAATAACAAAGGATTAGAGGCGAAGGTAGCATGAGGCGCAGCATGAGAAAGCTCATCACACAGTTACTATAATTGGCACCCATTCTGTGTGTGTGTGTGTGTGTGTGTGTGTGTGTGTGTGTGTGTGTG